GCTGTAAAAAGCACTGAAAATAAGAGTTAACTGTCAAAACTTAGGTTCATTGCACAGAACAAAACAGAAACTTACATGATATACTTATTTGACAGTCAAATCTTGTTTTGTAAAAGAGCAGGAAGTGTTGGCATCAACACTATAAAACACTACTTCAAAAGGCTGTGGCTGGTTTCCATAGCAACCATTTTGAGTAAAACTCTAGAAATTTAATTTCTCTTCTTGAGTGCAATAGCACACAATTGATCTTTCTTCACCATATTTAAACAAACTTTTTGGTCCATTTGAGGGTACCATACCACCTTAAACCTGGGCCTGGTTATACAGCTTCTAATGTATCGTCCCTTAATTATATCATATTTTTTCTTTGCAGATTTGGCGAACACCTTTTAACATACGGCTGGGGAGGGGGTTCCCTTCCTACCGCCTCCTTTTATAAGGAGGGGGAGCATTACATGTGGATCCAGTTTACAACCAACGGAGTTAACCCATCAGGCCGTCTCTATACTGGGTGGACTGGGACTTACCAGAAATACTGGCCTTACGTTAGCAGCAAGAAGAAGAAGAGAAGTTTAATGGAAACTCCAGACGCCTGATAGCATCTAATACTTGTATCAGTGAAAAAGTGGGTTTCGTAACACTGTAGTAGATTAAAAGCAAATATTACGCACAACAGTGCAGTAATAAAGTGTCCGACAGAACCACAAAACGTATTGCAGTGCTTTTTTACAGTCGCTTTTTTTTTCTATATGGACACACTTCCTAACAGTGTTTAGGCAAGCGGGGGAGGGGGGAGGGGGAGGAGCCGAAAGTGCCGGGTTGACCCTAACCTTTCATAACATTCCTAGTAGTAAAGCCAAGTGTTCCCTGGGGAATCTCCAGAATTTAGCCATGTTGGATAATCAGCCATTCGCCTCTTGTTTGAAGAACTTATGCTTATTGGCTATTACTGGACATGCCAATCACACGACGTGATTCCTGAAGTTTTGAAATAGCTGCCCATGCACTGCTGACTTTGCGCTAGTGAATAGCGAAAAGTCAGGAGGGTGTCTAGTTTTAATCATGAAGCCAACTTAACCACACGGTAATAAAAATAATTTGATGCTTCTTGGCAAGAAACGTGTTAAAGACGGCATCTACCTGTCAACGGAATCATTCGGAAAACAAATTTAAGGTAATTAAAAACCTCTCAATTATCTGGAAACATTTATAGCGCTAATCCACTGCACTCAGACTTAAAGCAATGGTACTCGCGATAGCTTTTTCGCTGTCAAAACGGCAAAACACTCGGGTTTTTCGCTTTCAACTGACCGCGTTGTTTTTTTTAACCTTAACAATGTTCACACGGAAATGGTTTCGTTTATAAACGACCTTTGAAGTGAAGTGAAAGACCTTTCGTTTGAATATTGACCGTCGCTCGCGTTCGCAAAAAATACGACTGTTTCGCAGTCTAGTATTATGCGTGGCATCTTTGGAGACTGACCTGTGGTATCTAACAAACACGGATCTGACAGCGCTCTCTGTATTCAACGGCTGCTTGCTCGTTGTATAATTTCGCTACAACTAACAAATCTTTATGTATTTCCATTTAGTGTCAAAAGAAAGACACTACAGTCGACTCCTGATAACTTTGATACCTCGAACCCTCACTAATTCGAACCTCGCTCTAAGTCGAACCAAAATTGATTTCTCCTAGATTTCCGAAAGTGACCCATTTTTCCAAGTGTGACCCATTTTTCCAAGTGTGACTCTTTTTTTTGAGTGTGACGCGTTTTTCCAAGCGTGACCCTTTTTTCGAAGTGTGACCCATTTCTCCAAGTGTGACCCATTTTTCGAAGTGTGACCCATTTTTGCAAGAGTGAACCATTTTTCCAAGTGTTACCCTTTTTTTCAAGTGTGACCCCCTTTTTTCTAAGTGTGTCCCTTTTTCTACAGTGCTACCTTTTTTCCAAAGTGTGACCCCATTTTTACAAGTGTGACCCATTTTTCCAAGTGTGATATGTTTTTCCAAGGGTGGCCACTTTTCCAAGTGTGACCCATTTTTGCAAGTGTGACTTTTTTCCTAAGTATGATCTTGTTTTCCAAGTGTGACCCATTTTTGTTGAGTTAACATTTTTTCAAGTGTTACCTATTTTTCTAAGTGTGACTCATTTTTCTAATTTTTGTGACCCTTTTTCCCAAGTCTGACCCATTTTTCCAATTTGACCCATTTTTCTAGGGGTGACTCATTTTACCAAGTGTAAATCTTTTTTCCAAGTGTGACCCGTTTTCCCAAGTGTGATCCATTTTTCCAAGTGTGACCAGCTTTTCCACACGTTTTAAGTGCGACCCATTTTTCCAAATGAAACCCATTTTATAAGTTTGACACCTTTTTCCCAGTGTAACTCATTTTTTCAAGTGTGACCCATTTTTTCAAGTGTGACCCACCTTCTAAGTGTGACCCATTTTTTTAAGTGTTACCTATTTTTCCAATTGTGACCCTTTTTTTCCTTATGTGACCCTTTTTTTCCAGGTTGTGACTTATTTTTACAAGTGTGACCCTTTTGTCCAAGTGTGACCCATTTTTCCAGGTGTGATCCATTTTTACAAGAGTGACCGTTTTTAGTCGTGATCCATTTTTACAAGAGTGACCGTTTTTAGTCGTGGATACGCGGGGCGTAGAAACGACTATTGATATAGGGCAGGATATGCAAATATGTCACTCACTTAGATGTAAACTTTTGGCATGGAGAGCCTGGGTACGAGTTTCTCGAAGACCTCCAAAGTTGAGAGCGGCCATTTTAGTTCATGTGTAAATATGTGTCATTTTGCCTATGGGTTTTTGCTCACACGTAGATGAAAGCTGAGAGAGGTATTTATGACTGTGCTCATGTATAGGTCACAACAGCGTGGCCGGAGAGGTCAAAGTTGATACAAGTCAAGCTCAGCAAAAAAGATCGTGTTTACTATATGTGGATATAATTAGACTCATAGCGTTTTTCTTGGCTAGGGAATTTGATGGTAGAGACCAAGGTAAGTCTAAGTTCTTGTTAAGCTTTGGCTTTATTTACTTTTTTCTGTACACATTGAAATTCTGGTGGTGCTCATAACTTAAGTTCAAAACCGGTGATTTAATTTGTATTTTAAAATAAGCTTACTTCAAGCGAAAAATTCAAATTGCTTTATCTTTTAATTTTGTCGTTCTTCACTGTAGATTTCTTCTGTATTCTATGAAGAGTGAACTTTTCTTCATGAATTGTCTACAAGTCAGCATCCAAGATCGAGTAAATAGCTAGTAAGATGCCCTAAACTTTGAGTGATGGATAGACAAATTAACATCCAAGAGACTGACTAGTGTGTAGATCTACTTTTTGCGAGAGAGATTTACTCTCCAATCATGTGGAACACAAGCCATGTCAAACAGGCAATGTGGCTGGTGATGTATGTATAATTTTATTTTTCTTCTAGAAGCGAGATATGTGAGTAATAGACCTATTTTGGACTGGGCGGTTTGTTGCCTCATTTCAGACCATGTGATGATACTCTTAAGAATTCTGTATTTTTCAAAGACCCACTTTTCCAAGTGTGAACCAGTTTTCCAAGAGTGAGACCTTTTTATCCAAGGGTGACCCATTTTTCCAAGTGTGACCCACTTTTCTAAGTGGGACCCGTTTTTCCAATGTTACCTATTTTTCCAAGTGTGACCCATTTTTCCAAGTGTGACCCATTTTTCCAAGTGTGACCCATTTTTCCTAGTGTAACTCTTTTTTTCAAGAGTGATCCGTTTTTTCAAGTGTAACCCATTTTTTCAAGCGGGAACAACTTTAACAAATGTGAACTATTTTTACTAATGTGACCCTTTTTTCCAAGTGTAACTGTTTTTCCCAAGAGTGATTCATTTTTAAAGGTGTAACCCTTTTTTGCAAGTAAGATCCATTTTTGGAATTGTAAACCCCTTCTTCCAAGTATGACCTTATTTTCTAAGTGTAACCCATTTTTCCAATTGTTACCCATTTTTCGGAGTGTGACACTTTTTAAGCAATGACGTATTGTGTGACGTCATCGCTTTATGCTGGCATGCATGCATTCCTTTGGATAGTGACTTCGCATAGTTTGTCGCGCTTATGTCCGTGCGCTCATGTCGCGCACTTTTTGTCCCCCCGTGGAAGCGAAATGCACTCTGGGAGTTCCTTTGCTGCTTTCCTTTGCTGTTTGTAGTTTCAGCGGTGTGCTTTTAATTGGAGCTTTTAAAAGAAGATTTAGGGGTGGATTTTTGTTTAAATAGTATCGGATAAATTTGCGATCACGGGCAAACTCATAACATGAACCTATCCTCCATACATACAAGTTTAGATAGACAAGTAAGTTGCACAGGCGATAGGTGAAGGCTTTGCGGCTTTCCTTTGCTGTTTGTAGGATCAGCAGACTACTTTTAATCGATATGACAAGTATACAGTTAAAACAACAAATTAATTTCCGGTGAGGTAATTAGTGCTGCCAAATATTTTTAAAGACAATAAGCAACATTCCTTTGCGGGTTTCCTTTGCGGCTGTCCTTTGCTGTTTGTAGGATCAGCGGAGTGCTTTTAATTTTAGCTTTTAAACGAAGATTTGGGGGTTGATTTTGGTTTATACAGTGTTGGACAAATTTGCGCTCATTAGTAAACTCCTAATAAGAACATATCGTTCATACATACAAATTTAGATAGACAAGCAAGTCGCACACGCGATAGCTGAAGGGTCTACATAAAATTTACGGATTGGTAGCGCAGTTGTACTTTTGCCAGTCTTGAAGTGAATTGAATGAGCATTGTATGAGCACTGAAATATACATTTTACAGTAGTGATAATGAAGTCAGGGTACGATTTATTTGCAGTTTTCAGTTTTTTATGAAGTTTTGGAAATGCGCTGTTTTATATTTTCTGTCAACGAAAGAGTGGTTCTGATTAAACAATTGATAATAGTTTTGTCAGGGTAAAGACAATACGAATGTTCATTGATGACAAGTATACGGTTAACAACAAATCAATTTTCTGTGAGGAAATAAGCGTTACCAAATATCTTTAAAGATAATAAGGTGTCGATTTCAGAGAGAGAAACTTGTACTCAGTTTGCGGCTTTCCTTTGCTGTTTGTAGAATCAGCGGAGTGCTTTTAATTTCAGCTTTTAATCGAAGATTTGGGGGTGGATTTTGGTTTATACAGTGTCAGATAAATTTGCGCTCACGGGCAACTTAATGTAAAGCGCTTTTGAGTATGTTTGTATAGTTCTAGCGCTATACAAGTCTATTATTATTATTATTATTATTATTATTATTATAANTAAAGATAATAAGGTGTTGATTTCAGAGAGAGGAACTTTTCAGCGGAGTGCTTTTTATTTGGGTTGGTACATTTCGCTGACCCCTAGCACATGGACTAAAAAGATGGACCTGGTACATGAATTACTTGAATGAACCACCAATGGACTACCCTAAATGTAAACCCCTAAAATTTGTAACCCAAAAGTTTAACAATCAGTTTGTCTGCTCATTTTCCAATCTTCTAGGAACAATTTTTAAACGTCATCGCTTCTGCATGCATTGCGTGCCGTTTATTTCCAAATGCGACCCATTTTTTTAACTGTGACCCTTTTTTCCAAGTTTGACCCATTTTTCCAAATGTGATCCATTTTTCCAAGTGTGACCGCCCATTTCTCCAAGTGTGACTCTTTTTTCAAGTGTGACCCAT